TTTTAGTCATAATAGTCCACACCTCCACTGCTGTAGGCGCCCTCCTCCTCCTCTCTCTCTCTCTCTACCTTTCTCTCTCCTCTTTCTCACACCTCAAGCCTCCCTTTCCCTCTCTCTCTATCGTATTTTAGCATAATGTCCACAACGCCATGCTTGTAAGGTCCCCTTCTCTCTTTCTCTCTCTCTCTCTCTCCTCTTTCTCACACCTCAAGCATCCCTCTGTCTCTCTCTTTCGTATTTTGGCATAATGTCCACACCATCCTTGTGAGTTCCCTTCTCTCTCTGTCTCTTATTTTTCTCACACCTCAAGCAGCTCTCTCTCTCTCTCCCTCTCTCACCTCAATATGCTTGTAATCCCCCTTCTCTCTCTCTCTCTCTCTCAACTTGGTTCATGCGCCAAAGAGTGTGCATATAGTGGGGGATCACAATGGGAGTATGTGGCTTCTTAAGAATTCAAAGGATATGGTTTTCTTCTACATTTTCGTACCAAAAATTGATTTTCTCTATTGCGACCAAAGGTTAAGTGTGTTTAGTTTTTTTAAAAAAATAGGGGCATTTTGGTCACTCACTTTGAGTAAGCCAAGGGGCACATGGCCGGCCTTTTATTAATCCGTCGTCCACTCTGCGACCCATCAAGTCGTTTTCCGCTCAAGAATGAGGTATCCTCCTCTCCAAACACATTTCTAGATTCTCCATTAACCATTTCCCTATCGCTGTACTTATAACCCCCCAGACGTGAAACGATTCCAGTCTTTCCTCTTAGACCTTGCTAATGGAGCGTCTTGGCATGCCAATCTCTTTTCAGCCTCCCAAGGTCACAGAAACCCCAGCTACAGGCTTTTTTGCGCCACCCATGACAACCAAAACCACCAGAAGTGGTATTTTCAGGCAACCTAGCTCCACCATAACCGCCGTTAATGGCTTTTCCCAGCTGCCGATCTTCACCAAATCTCACGGTAATGGCTTTCTTCGAACACCTGTGTTCGGCCCGACTGCCAACTCATCGAAAATACGAAAGCCGTCGAGAAGAATTCCTAGAGTTCTTTGTCGTGTAGACAAGAGCTTTCTTAACATGAAACCCGGACCATGCCGCGATCTCATAGACATGTCCCTGCATTGGGGCGATGGTTCCAGCCAAATGAAAACTGATGTGGTGATCCTAGGAGCTGGCCCAGCCGGCCTTTCTCTTGCTGAGAAGGTGTCGGCGAGTGGTGTTCGGGTTGTATGTATTGACCCCTCACCCCTTGCAGTTTGGCCCAATAACTATGGTGTTTGGGTCGATGAGTTTTCACCCTTGGGCTTGGAAGATTGCCTTGACCATGTGTGGCCCCTCGCGTCTGTTCTTTTGGATGATCAGAAAGTCAAATATTTAGATCGCCCCTATGCCCGGGTTAGCCGCAATGCCTTGAAGAGGAGGCTCCTTGAGGGGTGTGTAACAAATGGTGTCAATTTTCTTAGAGCCAAGGCTTGGAGGGTGGAGCATCAAGAGTTCTCCTCCTTAGTGAATTGTGATGATGGTAGTGCCATCAAGGGGAGTTTGGTTGTAGATGCCACTGGTTTCAAAACTCCTTTCATGGAATATCCTAAGAATAGGAATCATGGGTACCAAATTGCTCATGGAATCTTGGCTGAGGTTGAGGGGCACCCATTTGACCTAGACAAGATGGTGTTGATGGATTGGAGGGACTCTCACATGGGAAATGAACCCTACTTAAGGGAAGGTAACAGGAGGCTGCCTACATTTCTCTATGCCATGCCCTTAGGGCCCAACTTAATATTTTTGGAGGAGACATCATTAGTGAGTAGGCCTATATTATCATACCTGGAGATTAAGAAGAGGATGGTGGCTAGGCTAAGGCACTTGGGTATTGTAGTGAAAGAAGTACTAGAAGATGAGAAGTGTGTCATCCCAATGGGAGGCCGACTTCCTATAATCCCCCAAAATGTGGTTGGAATGGGTGGAAATGCAGGGCTAGTGCATCCTTCAACTGGGTATACAGTGGCTAGAAGTTTGGCTGTTGCCCCAATTTTAGCAGATTCAATAGTGGATTGCTTGGGTTCAACTAGGATGATAAGGGGAAGGCAGCTTCATTCTAGGATTTGGAATGCCTTGTGGCCCTTGGATCAGAGAATGGTTAGAGAGTACTTCTCTTTTGGGATGGAGACTTTGTTAAAGCTAGATCTGGAGGGTACTAGGAGGTTTTTTGATGCGTTCTTTGATTTGGATCCATACCACTGGCATGGATTTCTATCATCTAGGTTATCTCTTTCAGAGCTTGCCATGTTGAGCCTAAATTTGTTTGGGAATGCATCTAATCCCTCTAGGCTTGATATAGTTACCAAGTGCCCTTGGCCCTTGTGCAAAATGTTAAGGAATATTGCGTTAGAAATGGTGTAGATGAAGTTTTGTGATGGCACTTTCATGTGTATTGGATCACATTACTTAGTTGATATGGGACCCTTGCAAACTTAACCTTATCATACTTCTAAGGACCTTCATCGCAATTTGTTAAAGTTAGAGAGAGATAGAGATAGAGATAGAGATAGATAGAGAGAGAGAGAGAGAGAGAGAGAGAGAGAGAGGAGGAGGGTGGAGTAGTTAGTAGTATAGTTAGTACGACGTAACGTACGTACGAACGAAACGTAATTAGTTAGTAGTTACGTAATTAGTTTTCGTTTTTTGTTTTTT